CTTGTTGGCCACGATGCCGCTACGCTTGTTTTGAACATGTTCAAAATAAGCGTGGTGAGAGCGTAGAGCTCTCCGATCATGAAGACTCTACTGCGATCATACTACGCTTCTGACGACCCCACGACGTCCCTCTTGCGATTTGTCACGATTGGCCACGCCTTTAACCAAATTTTGATCGTAGTAGAAGCGGCGTCTATGTGTGAACGGGGGGTAATATTTATGTGCTCAGTCCCCATCTCTGCACCACAGGGGTTCTAGCCCTAAGCTCTTTTACTTATTTACTTCAAAGTTCCCAATTTTATTGCTCTTAGTCAAAACCCTTAATAATACCCAAGTATTTCCGTTCAAATTTTATTACTTACTATCGATGGGCTTAATTTGTCTATTCGGATCAATTTCATTACAAAATGATCTACCAAATTATAGTGCATTGGAACAACAACAAAATCCAATTTGGTTTAACAAGATAATATTAGTTTAAAAATTAATGTCATTTTCCAATTATAAAGTCACCGAATTTGAGTCACTTATAATATACATTCTGATTTAATAAACCTTTATATCATTTTACTTTAACTACTAATAACTAAATATGATTATGATGTTAATATTGTCTAAGTTTAAAATGTTAAAACAATATGTCTGTGCTAAACCTTATAGGTTTACACATCTTGACGAGGTCACAAAGGGCATTAGAGGAATTAAACCAAGCATTCGGGAGAGACAAGAAAGTGTACAAGAACAAGCGAACGATACGATATATATAACCACTGAGCTGCAGGAAAAACAGAAGAGGATGAAAATTGAGAGAACTTGGCCGAATGAAGGATTTCATAGTTCGACTGGAGTATTGTGTAAAGACTCAACGTGAACGTATTCCAGAACTTAAAATTACAGCAATTGAAGATAATATCATAGTGAGTAGAGTAGATTAAAAGACGCGCGAGATGAAAAATCCGGAAAACAAGCTTGCTAAGATCATTAGTAACGTGTTTGCTGTAGAGATTGAGATACCAGCAGAGACTGTGGAAAACATGCATATCTATTTAAACTGTTCAGAATGAAAGAGTACGACAAGCAAATAAAATGTCTAAGGCCGGTTTGTGTTTAATTTGTTAAAAAATAACACAATGATATTGTAATGAGGCATACTAATGAGGAATAATACTTAAAAATAAGCAGTCGCCAATAAGAGTGTCCCAACATCATCAAAGAAAAACGGAAACACCTATACGATGACGATGTACAGAAAAAATACGCGGACCGTAACATTGAGACTGTGTTGAAGGGTCAAAAGCTCATTTTCACACAAAGCAAATCAAATTGGCAGCCGACTTTGGCCGATGAGATCATCAGTGGAGAAGGGGTAAAGATCGCGATCTGCACGGGGAAGACTACAAAAGACTACAGAAGACTACAGAAGACAATGGAAACCGGTTTGGCAGGACTCATTACAAAAGCAATAAACAACCCATATGGATAATGACATTTTACTGAATCAAATAAGTTAGGAATTATAACTTGCCTACCTAAGCCAGGAAAACAAAAACAGTCCTGAAACCCAATCAATTTGTTGAATGTGATTTATAAAATAGCCTCATTTTGTTGAACAATTGAAAACCGTGTTAAATAAAAAAAATGATTAAGGACCAAACTAGCTTTTTAAAGGGGAGATTTAAAGGAGAAAATATCAGACTGGTTTATAATTCAATGCATACATGTAACACAGAGCAAAAACATGTCAAAATTGATATCTAATTAGATACTTTGTTAATAATTCATATTTGATTAGCGCGCATTGCTAATCAAACATAACGCTGTTTGTGTGAATGAGTGCCATGTGTGAATGTTTTGTTTTGTCACGTGATGTTTATATTTTTAACTTACTACAAGTACGACCAGTTGACAAATGACAGACCACTATGTGATAATCAATATGCATGTATACTAACTTCGTGCACTAAATAAGCGCTTAATCCGCCGAATAAAATATCCATTAGCTTCTACCTTCACGGTGTACATGTATGAGGTCCAAGCATTTATGAAATGTGTAAGTCATCGAGTTATACGATGTCTTGATAACAAAGTATTCATTATTTAATGATGATGTAAATACTTAAATCGTTTTCAATAATACATAAAATATCTTATTGGCGGCGACGTGAATTTTCATGCTGTGTAATTTGTAACATTGATTTATGTGCTGTATTTGTCTCTTGTTAATGTGTGTATTGTGGGAGTGTTTTGTATGTTTCTAGGTTTCTTTCTGTTATCCATAATAAACATCATAAAACCGAACCTAGCGTATTCTCTAAACCATTGACCCTGTGACACAGAGCAAAAACAGATTCGAATTCCAGGCTTATTAACGTTAATTGACTTAAAATTTCATTGGTCAGTCACGAATGCTCCATGAATTTAAAAGGGACATACAATGCTCATAGTTAAAATTCAAAGAGTAAACTCAGGTGACCTATTGCTTTCTGTTTTCGTCCATCGTCGTGCGTTCACATTTAAACATTTCAGCTTCTTCTCTAGAACCGCTCAGCCAATTTCAACCAAATTTAGCACAAAGCATCCATGGGTGAAGAGGAACAAAACTTGTGAATTTTTTGGTCCCTCTAGGGCCTGAGGGGTGGGATCAAAACTATTAAAATTAATGCAATCTTTGAAAATCTTCTCCTTTACTCCTGGACATCAGGCAGTCAAACTGTTTCCTAATGGACTTTTCTGAAAAGCACTGTATTTTACAGTTGACAGTTTGCCTGGACATTTAAACCTGTATCATGTACGGAGGTACAGAATTGATGATAGATTAGAACACCTTTCAAATGGTCATAGGTATGGTGTTAGGGGCACTTGAATGTGAATGCAGGGAGTTGAGGATAGAGTGGTTGTAGTTTTCTTCAGGTTCAACTTATATGTGCATTGAAATAACCCATTATTAGGTCACCAGAGTAAACTCAGGTGACCTATTGCTTTCTGTGTTCATCCATCGTCGTCCGTCGTGCGTTAACATTTAAACATTTTCAGCTTCCTCTCTGCAAAGGCTCAACCAATTTCTACCAAATTTGGCACAAAGCATATATGGGTGTAGAGAAACAAAACTTCTGAATTTCATCCCCCTCCGGGGGCTTGAGGGGTGGGGTCAAAACTTTTAAAATTAATGCAATCTTTAAAACTCTTCTCCTTTACTCCTGGACATCAAGCAGTCAAACTGTTGGCATGATTGTAATCAGCATTGAGTCCTCTATTAAAATTGTGAAATTAATGACCCCAAGCTCAGGGGTTCTAGGGAGGGACTAAATAGATTATATAGTGAAAATGCATTAATTTTTCCTTTAATATCTTCTTTTCTGCTCTTGGGCATTAAATAATCTAACCAAGTACATTGTTATGTTGAATAAGGCTGCCTCTTCCAAAGTTGTGAATTTCATTGCCCAAGGTCGGGGCTTCTGGTGTTAGGGCAGGGATCTATTATTTATATAGTGAAATTGCATAAATTCTTTGAAAACCTTTTACTCTGCTCCTGGATATTGATTAAACTAACCAAGTACAAAGTGATAATGAAAAAGAATGTCTCTTTCAAAATTGGGAATTTCATGGCCCCTGGGTCAGGGGTTCTGGTGTTAAGGTGGGGTTCTATTGATTTTATAGTATAAATAGATTCTTTAGAAATTCTTTAAAAATCTTCTCCTCTGCTTATAGGTATTAAATCAATAAACTATGTACATATTTATGATGAGTAATGATGCTTTTTCCAAATTTGTGAATTACAGGGCCCCTAGGTCAGGGATTCTGGTGTTAGGATAGGGCTTTAATGATTATATTGTGAAAATGCATGAATTCCTTGAAAAAATTTCTCCTTTGCTCCTGGTTAATATGCCAATGATCTAATTACATATTCATGATGAAGAAAGGTCCCGCTTTCAAAATGGTTAATTTCAGGCCCCTGGGTACCGGCGGGGGTGGAGGGTCGGCGGGTGGGTAGGTGTTACTTTGTCTTAAAATAAATTAATACTCAGAAATCTGATCCTTGGTATTAACAACCATTTATGATGAAATAAAATTTATGATAAAATTTCCCAAATTTTGTAATACCGGGTAAGTGGCCCCAGGGTCAATGGTTCCAGTTCGATTGGGTGCACAACTGGTGGTTATAAACTGGAAATGTATTTTCTCTTTGTTACTCTGATCTACTTCTGGGTATTAAGTAACCAAAGTATGTATGCTAAGTGTATAATTATGATAAGCAATGGTGCCTCTTTCAAAATTGTTAATTCTATGGCTTTTGGTTTAAAACATGAACCAAATTTAATTGTTGGAAAGTTGTTACATGATACTCAGGTGACCATTAAGTCCCTTGGGCCTCTTGTTTTAAATGAAAGAAATGTTGAGCCAAATTCTTAAATCGTAAAAGAGCTTACATACATTGTCCTAGTGTAAAAGTAAGCTGTCAACTGTAAAAGCCAGCGCTCCTCGGAAAAGTCCAGTGATAATAATTCCAGTGATAATAATTTCTCTGTGTCAGCTTTGTGAAATAGTTGGATGCTTAGTCGAACAATAGTATAGTACTCATTAAAATATTTTTTTTGTGTTTCGATGTCATGATTGGTCAAATTATTCATACTTTGAGCTATTTTCGAAGAGCACTTGGCCGTCGATTTCCCGAGTACAATTTTGGTGTTAAGGAGAAGCATATATAAGCTCGTTTCTGACAAAAATCTGTATGACATTTTATGAATAAACATACCAGCATCTCAGCAGTCGTTCACTGCAAAAGCAAAATCAACCTGCAAAATTATTTCAACGTTTCAACGTAGTGCTAATAATGCACACTGTGTATGAAACATTATGTTATAATATAAAAAAGAAATCCCTTTATATATAAACCAGAACTACATTTGGACAAAGTAGAACAATTTTCTTGAAAAAAAAAGAATTTTATTTTTCTAATTTTAACTCTTCCATGGTCAATACAATGTTTAAATGACAAATGACATTAGGTTAGACTCCAAGGTAGGTTTGTAAGCAAACCCGGTCATTACAACAGAAGACTTCTCCATTGTGCATCAAATTCTTTATAAAAGAGCAGTCCTCTTTCTGTTAAAATGACAAGTTTCAGCTTTTTAATTTCATTTTATCACGAATTAATAGCACAACTAAGGTGTTTTAAACACCATTTTAGTATCTATAAATATGATGTTTGATATTTATTTATACATGACTGTACTTATCATTACACTGAAAATAAATAATGTTTTGTAAGGAATGATAAATTTGGATTTCTAGGTCACCTGGGTCACTCAGATGACCTATTGCTATCCGTTTTTGTCCCTCGGCGTTCGCCGTGCGTCGTTCAGTGTGCGTTGACATTTAATCATTATAAGCTTCTCTGAAACCGCTAACAAATTTCAACCAGTTTTTGCATATAGCATCTATAAAGGGGAAACAACCATTATGAATTCCATGGTCCCTAAAAAACCCCTACCCCCACTCCCCCCCCCCCCAGGTTCTGAAGGGTGATGCAAAAACCTTCAAATTTAATGGCGCTAGGTTGAAGGGTTCTGGTGTTAGGGCGAGGCTATATGAATCATATAGTGAAAATGAATTTATTCCTCGAAAATCTTCATTGGTCCTGGGGATTAAACAAACTACTGTACATACATACATGTAGTTGTGATGAGCAAGTGAGCCCCAGGGTCAGGGGTTCTTGTATTAGGTGAGGCTTATACGAGTTTATAGTGAATATGCCTTAATTCATTGAAAATCTTCTTCTCTGCTCCTGGATGTTAAAGCAAATAAATTACATACATAATTATAATGAACAAGAGTACCTCAGGTGACCTAGAAAACCCATGGGCCTCTTCTTAATTATATATTTATTGTCGTCATCATATGTTGTACATGTTGACGTTTGTGCTATTTATTACCCTTTGTGCAGTGTATTACCCTTGTACAATGCGTTGTAAACTTTGTTCCTTGATATCTGCTTCGTATCATACAACTCTCTTCCGGATAACATGTCTGATTCCACACGCAGTTTAATGTTTCGTCACATGTGGGACACTGAATACCTAAAGAAGAAATTGAATGTTCATTAATTACCTTCTAGGGCAACCTACATATATACATAGTATTAGAGCCAATATGGATAAATAAAATCTCTCTGTTTCTCTTCCTCTCTGTTCTTGCTATGTTTCTAACTGTTTCTTGTGTCTAAAAACAAATAAAATTCAAATATATCTGACAGTTTATAATTTTTTTTCTGTCAAGTAATTGTTTAAATATCGTAAATAGAAATAATCACATTGCATTTGTTAAACGTCATAATGATCTCATAAAACGTTTAATCATATAAGAAGCAAATTTGTTCAAATTGCTAGTTTAACGAGCATTTTGATAGTATTACACCAGTAATACTAGTTTCCTCCTACCAGTCTCTCTCACTTACGAAAAAACAAGTGGGACAGACTGATCGACAGACGGAGGGACAGTTAGAAAAAAATCAGACAGTTGAGCAGGAAACTTAAAGTCCTTTCCGTCTTCATTGACAGGGAACTAAAAAGGAGAGAGTAGACAAATTACGATTAGGTAAAGATGACGCTGAATTGATTGGGGTCAATTCATTTGAAGTTCTTCCAACTGATTAAGTAAAAAATGAAATTTTGTCAGACGAACCCTAGAAAGAATGTTTCTTTTCTATATATAAACATCAATCTTATGAAATGCATATTATATATAGTATTGATGTCTTGTGTATTACAAGATACAAGATTTTATTAATCCAATTTGGGCCCCCGGAGGAGCAAAAAGATTTACAAATAGAAGGAGGAGGATCCAAATGATAGAACAAGCATGATGATGATATTACAAATAAAGAGTAATTAGTAAAGCAACCAAATAAAGCGTAATTAGTAAAGCAACCATTTTGTTTAAGAAAAAGCATTAGTGTTCTTACATTTCAATGAAAAGTGTTCAAGACTTTCAGTAAATCATATGTAAGGATGGAAATTATACCTTTTGGGCGAATGAGAGCGGTAAAATGTTAGATAGGATTAATTTCTGATATCTATTTCTAAGTTAAACCTAAACAGTGGTCATGATTTTGATAACATATTTGTTATCCTTTTTAGGATAGTTTCAGTGCACATGAATATTGGTATTAATGGTAAACTTAAAATGCTGTTTGACAATTTTTTTTCCTTTTACTTTCCTGTAATAACTTTCAACCATATTTGTAATTATATTTCCTCTTGCTGCACATTCTCACTGCAGCTCTGTTTTTGCCGAGAATGTTTATTAACAAGGCACTTGTAACAGAACAACAGGGACTTATCCTCTTTGGTGCATGATCCCATCTTTGTTTTCTTAGGTTCATATGTTAGCTTTGCTCAAGATTTGTTTACAAATCATTTAGACAAGGTGTACAAATATATCGCCTTAAAAATGGGATCAAATTATTATGTTATATCACTTGCTAGATTCTAAACCCTATTTTAGCACACATAGGTATAAAGAATTAGGAACATTTGAACATATGTTCTTTTAAAGTCAATATTTGCCTTGGGGGTAAAAACAATGCTTGCCAACATTGAGACTAATTTTCCTAAAATCTTTGGATATTACTGTACAATCTCTATGTCTTACATTTTTTGTGCAAAGCTGTACATTTTTGTGCAACAGTTTTAAAGTGAGGTGGGTTAAGGATGAAATAATTAAAATAAGTTATATTATGTTGGATTTCAGTGTCTTAATTTATAAAGATAGATTACTTTCGCTGTCATGAACCATCTATTGGTACTTGATAACCCAAGCACAGCATTAAATATTAATACCAATATTCATGTGCACTGAAACTATTCTAAAAAGGATAACAAATATGTTATCAAAATCATGACCACTGTTTAGGTTTAACTTAGAAATAGATATAAGAAATTAATCGAAATTGAAATTAACATAGATAAAACAAACAAGAGGCCCAGGGGCCACATTACCTGAGCAACTGGCTAGTTAAATACAAAATATCAGTTCAGTATTGAAAATTTAAATATAAAATTGGGTTCAGGGGAAGGGGGTGGGGTATTTGAACATTCTTAAATCTACAATTTCTAAGGATGCTTTTGAATTAATATGACACATAATGACTGTGTTGTAAGATGCAAAATTTTCATTGATAAAGCCTTTTACATCTTCCTTTGTTATGATCCACTGCAACGGCTCCTCTGTTCGCCTAATTGGTCATGATTTGAAGAAGTTTATCCTATGTAAAACCTTGTTTACCCATTGTGGCTTCACACTACCCCCATGATTTGAACATTCTTCTCTACACTACTTTTTTTTAATGCTTCCAATTAATTATGACTAATCATGGCTTTGTTGTTCTTGAAAAGAAGATTTTTAAAGAGTTTCCTATGTATTCCTATGTAAAATTTTGATCCCCTCATCGTACCCCGGGGGTCATAATTTGAACAAACTTGAGTCTGCACTACCAGAAAATGCTTTTATATAACTAAGACCAATCATGGCTTTGCTGTTCGTGAGAAGACGACAACGACAGACTTGAAAAAGAAAATGTGTGAAAACCTGACTTGTTACAAAAATTTATTCAGATAAAATTGTATATGTGTTTAGGAAACTGACATTTTTTGTCATGGAATTTTCGATAAACCGTCAATAAAGATTGCGCTTTCATTGTCACATTTTTTTTAATTTGCTCCTTAGATATTGCAAATAAAAAGCAGTTAAACGAATGCCTTTTTTAATAATTTTAAAATTTCAACAGATTTTCTTTTACTAAAAAATTGGGTTTTTTTTTTTTCAATTATTCCTTCTTGAGTAAGCAATCCCTGTCTTGATTGAAGTAATTCGTAAAAAAATTGTAAGAAAAATAGAAATTAAACAAGAATTATACAAATGTACATCACTTAACTTTTGACCAAACAACTTGTTTTTCCAATTAAGTTCAATGCAACAGCCAACGAATTTAAAATAGAAATACTCAATAGCAGAGCAGGGCCTCCCTTTTTCACAACAGCAGACGCTGTGGCTATGAATTTCTCATTTTTGTGGAGGCATCCTTGTTAAATATAACCATGTACTTAATTGCTTTATTTTTTAAATACCCGGGTACAGAGAAGACAATTCTTGAAAAATTGGTACATGTTTCCTTAATAATCAGTAGATCACAGCCTTAATACTACAGTAAAACTCGTTTAGTGTACTTTTACGAGAAGCACTCACTTTTACAGTTGACGGTTGACTTAAACTTTTAAACCGGCATCATGATTGGAGGTACGGAGTTGATAAAAGATAAGAACTCATTTCTAGTGGTCATAGGTATTGCCCTATGGCAGGACTAATGTCCATAAAAAGCTAACTAAGAAATACAAAACCAAGAAATACTCGGTGTCAAGGTGGGAGGTTTGGCCGATGTTGTTGTTAAAAGTACTTATTTAAAAGTGAATTAACATATAAATGAAAAGCATTTAGAAACACCATTTCAAATTATCTTTTTAAAGAATGAGTGCACTTAAGTACGTTTTTTGGAATCTTTTCGGCTACCCATTTTAAGCTTAACATTACAATGTATCGCTAAATTAACTATGATTAATGTCCAAGCATATGCTTTTGATATTTATCTCTAACATTTTTTGTCATACATATTTCTATAATTACAGAAAATGTCACTGAAAAGAACATGTAATAAAAGCTTTAAATTCCGGAAATTTGAACGGGACCACTTTCGAAACTAAGGTATCCACAAATAGGCGGAGACATTTAAACCGCATGGTTGTGGAATGTAAACATTAGCACATATGATTTTTTTTCAAACTACGAATAGAAATGGAGAAGAGAGAGATATATCAGTCGTTTTGATTTTATGGTGCAGAATTATTTTAAAATGATTCTTAAGGGATGGGGTAGATGTCTCGCTCTGCAGACCATAATACAGAGGCGACATAGGCCTGTACATGTTCTTACTAATGACACTGTCAATACCAGAATTCTTTCAAAACACCCTTAATGAAAAGCATAAAGTTAAATAAGAGACATTAATATCTTCAAACCTTATTAAAATTTGCGCACAAATCTCCTATAGTTCAAAGTTGGAAGTACTGATAGATACTGTCACAACAGATCGAGACATAAACACAATTTATGTATTCTTATGCTTATATGCAAGCTCACCGCAGCTTGTTTTTGCTAATTTTGTATTTGTCAAATAAAACACTTTCATAGAGATGAATAATGTCATTTATTAAAATGACGGTATAAATGTGAACAATTTAACAAGCAAGAAGGGGATCAGATTAACAAGCTTTGATTAGCAGTTACGTAAAATATGATAATGTCTGATCCCCCAAAACTGACTAGAAAAAAGTATATGTAAGACAAGACAATGAAAACTTCATATGAAAAAGTTAGCAAAAAGATGGCACATCAAAACAAACAAATCAAGTCAGAACTAATGAAATATATGATCTTACATGACACATTAATACACATTTTAAGGGGTAGGAATGTAGGGGTGGAGGAGGGTCTTCAAAATAGACGTGCCTTACTTAAGCGTGGTCAGCCTGCGGGTTATCACAATACAACTGAATGACTCGCTGAGCTGACCACGTGACCTTACACCTTCTACCACACGTAATCAATCACCCAAGCCATGGATCTAAGAATTTTCACATTTTACCAAAATTAATCTTACCGGAAATCTGCAACTTAGTTATCGCATTCAATACATAAATACAATTATCATTCTAATAATTGTTGCTTTATGTATTCTTATGCTTATAAGCAAGCTCACCGCAGCTTGTTTTTGCTAATTTTTTATTTGTCAAATAAAACACTTTCATAGAGATGAATAATGTCATTTATTAAAATGACGGTATAAATGTGAACAATTTAACAAACAAGAAGGGGATCAGATTAACAAGCTTTGATTAGCAGTTACGTAAAATATGATAATGTCTGATCCCCCAAAACTGACAAGAAAAAAGTATATGTAAGACAAGACAATGAAAACTTCATATGAAAAAGTTAGCAAAAAGATGGCACATCAAAACAAAATAGG